AGACCAAAAATAATAATAATATATATATATATATGGAACATTTTTGGTTAATGAAATCTAACAGTGTTTTTAAAACTAAGCAGCTACATGGAATTTCGATTTTAAAGACACAAAAGTAAGAGACTATTTGGGGTAGAAAGAGAACAGGTGATAGGACAGAGGACAAGTGAGGGCAATGGCCGACGATTGTGAGCAAGACATATCGCGTGCACATATAACACCAGCGTGATTATATTATCTTAAATTGTTCATATATTTTAGAAATACCTTAATATTAACACTGAAATGTTGAAATTTCTAGAAAAAAAAGCAAAAAGAACACTTCAAGATGTAGGGATAGGTAAGGACTTTCTGACTAGAACCGTGGTTGCTCAGGAAATAAGACCAATAACTGACAAACAGAACTTCATGAAATTAAAAGGTTTCTGTGCAGGAGACTGCTAATCAAGTGAAGAAGAAGCCTACGGAATGGGATAAAATCTTTGCCAGCTGTATATCTTACAGGGGATTAATAGTAGAATAAATAAAGAACTAAATAAACTAAACATCAAAAACCAGACAGCCCAACTTTAAAAAATGGGCTGTAGAACTGAAAATAATTTTCAAAAGAAGAAATATAGAATATCAATAAATCTTTTTAAAAGTGTTCAACATCCTTAGCCATCAGGGCATTGCAAATCAAAACTACTTTGAGATTCCATCTCATCCCAATCCAAATGGCTGTCATAAGAAAACAAATAACTACAAATGCTGCTGAGGATGTGGGGAAGGTAAACCCCTATTCACTGTTTGTTGGAAATGTAAACTGGTATAGCCACTCTGAAAATCAACATGGAGACTCTTCAAAAAACTAAAAATTGAACTGCCGTATGGCCCAGCTATACCACTCCTGGGATGTGTACCCCACGGATTCTGCATCCTACCACAGAGATACCTATGCAATAGCTTGGAAATGGAATCAGCCTAGATGACCATCAATGGATGAATAAATAATGAAAATGCAGTACATACACAGGATGGAATTTTATTCAGCTGGAAAGAAAAATGAAATTATGAAATGTTTGCAGAAAATTGGATGGAAAAATTAACAGGTAAATGGATGGAATTGGAAAAAAATTATGCTGAATGAGATAGCCCAGATGGAGACAGACAAAAGATGTATGTTCTCTCTCATATGCAGATCCTAGCTTCGATTTTTTATATTTTTATTTTTTAAGGTGAAAAATTATGTTGCTTACTGAAAATGTGATGCAAGTCCCTTTATCAAATGAGAAATTTTCAGATATGAAACAACAAAAAACAAGCAGTTAAATATTTCCCAATGTGGACAGTTAAAGAATTTAGTTATTCATATGCTGACTAAAGAATGTAATTACTGTGATTATTTTCATGTTATTGTTAACAAAACAAAGGCACAAGTCATTAAAGTTCTTTGTCATACTCACAGAGTCATGGAAAGTGACAAAGCTAGGCTTTGACTATAGAGGTGTGGGTGTGGGTGAGTGTGTGTTGGGGTGGTCTGGATGTGGGAGTGTGTATGTGGGTGTGGGTATGTGGAGGTTTGTGTGTGTATACGTGTGTGTGTGTGTGTGTGTGTGTGTGTGTGTAAGGTATAGTATTAATAGTAGTATTCTGGTTTTGTTGCTGCTGTTTTGGGGGGTTTGGGGGCATTGTTTTTTTTTTTTTTAACAGGGTCTCCCTAGTCCCTGCCTGCCTGAACCCACTATGTAAACCAGGCTGGTCTTGATCTCATAGAGATCCACCTGCCTCTGCCTCTGCTGGGATTAAAGGCATGTGCTACCACAACCAGTGTAGTAGCATTTTTTTAGAAATAGTACCCATATTACATATTAGTGACCTGTTTTTCTGCATGTGATTATGCTGTTTTTGAAAGGAGTTTGAGCTTTTTTTAATTAGGGTTTTTCAATTTTTATTTATCTTTCCATCCCCTAAAAATTCTATTTTAAGAGAGACTTTGTTATAATTTTCCTATAGAACTATGAATATTATATTCTATAGCAATGAAAGCAGGGATATATGCATATATATATACGCCATATTAACAAAAAGATCAATTTAAGGGGCTATAATGGAAAGTATACGGTTAAAGTTGAGAGATAGTACACAGAGTTAATGATTCTAATCTCTCCACTGTTTAACATACATGAAACCTTCCAAAACAAAAGTTAAAATAAACCATATCTATATTAACTAACTGTATTAGTTACTCTTCTGTTGCTGTGATAAGATACTGTGACCAAGACATTTATAGAAGAAAGAGGTTTTTTTGGTTTATGATTCCAGAGGGATTATAAGCCATAATGATACAGGAGGTGTGGTGGCAACGGTGACCAGAGCAGAAAGCCAAGGGATCAGCTCTTCAAGCAGGCACAGAATGTACAGAGTGATGGGAAATCCAGGAAGGCTTAAGAATTCTCAAAGCCTGCTCCCCAGTGACATGCTTCCTCCAGCAAAGCTAGACCACCTAAAACCTCCCAAAACAGCACCACCAACTAGGGACATAATGTCTAAATTCTCAGAGCCTATGGGGGACATTTTCATTCAAACTACCACACTGACATACTGTTAAATAGTCAAACAAAAAAAAAAAACAGATTTGTAGCAGCGGGATTCTGTCATTACTTTTTATAAATAGACATTTTAAGGACTGTGGAGACAGTTCAGTGGGTAAAGTGTTTACTGCACAAGCATGAAGATCTGAGTTCAGAGCCTCAACACCAACATAACAAGCCAGGCGTGGCAATATGCATCTGTAACCCCAATCCTAGGGAGATAGAGACAGGTGGATCTTGGGGCCTTGCCGGCCAGCCAGCTCAGTCAAAACAGCAAGCTCCAAGTTCAGCAAGAAAGAGACCCTGTCTCAAAAGATGAAAAGCAATAAAGACCCTTGATGTCAACCTGTGAGCAAGAGCACCTGCACACACATTCCACACATGCATATACCACACACACACACACACACACACACACACACACACACATACATACACATATGTGCAAAATAAGCATTTTAACCCTACATTTATACAAGAATGTAGAAAAATTCTGGAATGATAACACTAAGATACTCTCAGTAATTATCTTCCTTATATCTTTTTTAATGTATTGTATTTTCACCAAAAACAAAACAAAACATATATGCCATATAAATAAGCTTAGACCAACCCATTCTCTTTCACTGAATACACACATAGAAACATAAAGGAGACTAGGGAGATGGCTTACTCATACTAAGCACTAAGGTGCTTATAAGGACTTGAATTCAATCCACAGAGCCCACATAAAAAATTTTTAAAAACTTTAAAAAGCTAGAGTTGGAATGCAGGGTGTGGTAGTACACGCCTTTAATCCCAGCAATCAGGAGGCACAGGCAGGCAGATCTCTGTAAATTCAAGGCCAACCTGGTCTACATAGCAAGTTCCAGGCTAGCTGGGACTACAGAGAGACCCTTTCTCAAAAAGACCAAAAATAAATAAATAAAATTAAAAAGCTAGAGTTGGAGAGATGGCTCGGCGGTTAAGAGCACTAGCTGCTCTTGCAAGGCAGGTTTGGTTCCCAGCACCCACATGGCGGCTAACAGCTGTCCATAACTCCAGTTCCAAGAGGTCTGATGCCCTCTTCTGGCCTCCATGGGCATTGCATGCTCAGGTGCGCTTACATACATGCAGGCAAAACACGCATACACATAAAATAGAAATAAATAAGTGAATAATAATATTAAAGAAATAAAAATTTTAAATTAAGCAGATTTCTGGGGCTACTCAGTGGGCTCCAGGCCAGTGAAAGACACTGTCTCAAAAAACAGTGAGGGGGGTAATGTGGAGATCTGAGGAATACTACCGAGGTTGTCTTCTGGTTTCCATGCAAGTCCACACACATTCACATACAACTGCATACAACAGAGACAGAGACAGAGAGAGAAAGGCAGTAACAGGAATGAATGACGCAAAGAGTAATATGAGCTGAAGAAAAAGAAGCAGGAAGGGAGGGCCACCTTTCTAGTTTTGCTCCACGCAAACACTCTAAGCATGTGTGTGTGTGTGTGTGTGTGTGTGTGTGTGTGTGTGTGTGTGCTGGGATAGGACACACTGAAGAGTTTTTCAAAGAGAAACAGCAAGATCCAATTTTATTTTAGAGGAATTATCCTGGCTATCATGCTGAGAACAGACTTCAACAGAAGACAAAAAAGAGAGGAAGGCTCTTACAAGCATTTAGTAGTCAGAGCATGGTCATTTGGACCAGCTCAAAGACAGTGAAGAGAGAAAGAAGAGGTCACACTCTAGGTGTGGTCTGAAAGTGGCCGGAGAAAGTTTACTGAGGGATCGGGTTTGGGGTCACTCTAAGCATAATCCAAGTTTTTTGGCTTGAACAGCTACAAGGTTAGGACTGTCATTTTGTGAAATAGGATGACAGAGGTAGGAGGAAGACGGAAATTGGGTTTGGACATATTACATTTGAAGTGTCTTGTCAGACATTTGGGTACAGTGTTGACTAATTTAGATGCATGTTCATTTCCTTTTGCTGTGAAAGTATTGTCTACTTACATCTTTTCCAACCAGTTCTCTCTGGTTTTCAATAACACCCCAAGGAGGGATTCCAACTGTCCAGATTTTCCTCAAGGACTTAGAGGAATGAGCTTTCAGAGCATCCCCAACATGCTTGGAGACTCCTATGAACAACCAGATTAGAAGTCAGATTTCAACTTACAGACCATACACAACAGTGGTTTTCACACAGACACAAGTAGATGATCATTTGTAAAAAGTTGTTCTTAGGGTCAGCTGCTGGCTCAGTGGAATGAGACTCTGCTACCTTGACTTCCTCTCTTCTGTCTTGACATCTCTTCCTCTTACCACATCATACCCAAATAATTCTCCTCTCTCTTTGGCCAATGTATGTCACTGGATTCTACTTTTGCCTGGCCAGAATGTTCTATGCATTGCCTGACATCATGAACATTCTGAATATTTTAGTCTACAGTCTTTTCCAACATACCAATAAAACACCCTGCAGATGTGTCCCTTGATTCATAGAGGCAAACTAATGAAATACATACACAATATTCTATTGTCCTCCTGGAATTGATAATAACTGTAATTATAGTAGCCATCATTTATTGACACACAGCCTGCTTCACTAAGTGTTGGCTGCTTTATATATTTATACTTCAAGTAGGATTTTTTTTTTGAGGCAGGACCTTGCTATGTAGACCAGTCTAGCCTAGAGCTCACTGTCACCTGCCTTAGCTTCCTATGTGCTGGTGTTCTAGGAATGCACCACTATACCTAGCTAAGTAGAACATTTTTGTCCATTTCATACATAAAAATGGTGACAGATAGAGATCAAATACTATTCCAAGGCTACAGAGTTGGTAGTCTGTAGTTAAACAGAAAGCACAAAGAAGTCTCTTTATAAACCCTACCACCATACAAACCCAGCCTTCCCCTGCAGAGGGGTCTATTTGGTTTAATCTGTGGACCTGTAATGACATATCATTGCCCAGAGACCACAGTCTGCAGTGCAGCTTCCTTATTCTTGGCATTGTATAGTCTACGAGCTTTGACGAATGTATAACACCACCAATTTACCGCTGTAATATCATACAGAAAACTCTTACTGTCCTGAAACCTCTCTGCATTATCTATAAACCAAATCATACAGTAAGAAGCCGTTTTGACTTTGACTTATTCTGACTTTACTTACATCACATCTTGCTCCTATGTACGGTCTTCACTTCACTCTACGTGTGTTATCAGCACACACAAAAAAATGCTGGCATGTTTTGAACTGTATCACTTCAAAATCCGTGCTGTAGCTGCAGTATCAGAGGATGCTGCATGGTTTTGTTGGCATCTAGTTTCTTAAAGGATGGGCACCGTTTAACTGGAGAAACTGGCTAGGAAAACTCACAACGAAGGAGGGGAAAGGAAAGGGACGATGGAAAGCCACAGGACTGATAGAAGGGACTGTGGTGCCACTTGTTCTCAGGCCATCTGCACAGCAGACACGGTCCAGAAACTACTCTGAAAGCTGGATCTACCTGGGAAAGCATGTGTCGCCTGCATTTTCAAAAGTTCCCCAGGTGATTCTAATGTGTAGGCCATTAATAAACTCTGATGTAAAGGCCTGAGGTTATGAGGGATGGACTGTTTTGTTTTGTTTTGTTTTGTTTTGTATTTTTTAAAGATGGGGTCTTACTCTCTATCCCAGCCTGGCCACAAACCTGCAGCAATTCCCCTGCCTCAGCTCTTGAATAATAGAGCTGCAAGCATGAGCCATGACATCGGTCATGCAGGTTCTTAAATGACAGATAGTCTCACTTTTTAAATTACTTTGTTTATTCAGGGTGTGTGTGTGTGTGTGTGTGTGTGTGTGTGTGTAAGCATGTATGTTGCCAAGGCATGCATGTGGAGATCAGAGGACTACCTGCAGGAGACAGTTCTCTCCTCCCACCATATGGGCCCCTTAGATCAAACTCAGCCCTCCAGGCTGGGCAGCAAGTACCTTCTGTCACTGAGTCATATCACTGATCCTTGAATGTTAGATTTTAAGGAATATGAAAGAATCAGTAACAGAAACAATGAAGGTATCAGTAATCATGTCATAAAAACAAGCAATTGTTTTTCTCATGACCAATGCAGTCAATGCAATTTTTATGCACATCTCTCATTCCCAGTGTCCGAGAGCTTAACATTGACTACAGAAGTTCAGCTAATATCCAGGCCTCACACACGACACATCTGTGACCTCCTCTGTGTCTTTACAGTACTCCTGATAAAAGGGGGAAAAAAGTCTAGATTTAATAACGAAGGCCAGAGATGGATAGATGGGAAGGGATGAGAGAAAAGAATCAGCTGAGAGCTACAGAAGACAAAAGACTGTCCCACACTCCTGAGTTTATGTTGAACCTGACTGGCTGCCATTGCCTCTTGCTTACAAAGGAACTTCCTGGACTATTATGCCCAACCAATGTAGAAGCAGCAAGAGCTTCTGTGACCTGCCTTCTTCATCTTGGGTCACATTAGCCCCACTCCTAGCAATAGCCAGTATAAGTTCAATATAAAGCATGTATGCTTTCCTTCTCCAAGTTTTCACTAAAAACTCTCTTGGCTCTTGGGTCCAGGGGACACATTTCTAGCTGCTTCCTACTGGTATCCTAGAATTTGCCCCAGGTCCTGATCTTTCCCGGCTGGCGTCTTTAAGGGCCCAAGTAACAGACCAATTTTAGAGTATCCTTGTTCTCTAGAGCAATATTTAATAGATTGAAGTTCAGGAATGACTCTTCTGCCAAAGTTTATTTGAAGTTAAGTTAAAATTGCATATTTTGGCAAGGATAAAAATGCATTCCAGGAAAGGCCTGTGATTCTTCTGGACTTGTGCTCCAGTCACTCTAGCTGTCTTTCTCCTTCACATCTCCACATCTCCTGTGAGCACTGTAGAGCTAGGATTCTTTGTCATACTGCCTGCTTCACAGTTAGATTGGGGAGGGAGGGAGGAGGGAGACAGCCACTGGCTTTACCTGAGTTGATGCCTTCTGTAATTATCCAGGCTCCTGTGGTCTCTGCAGCCTTTACCAGACCCTGGCTGAAGGTCTCTTTAAGCTTGGAGGGCATCTTGAAGTTCTGGAGGCCCCCGTGGACAGAGATCACAAGCTTTGGCAGCTCCATATTCCACTCTTTCAACATTAAATGCAACAAATGATCTGATTTTGTGTCACAAGAAGTTCTGATATACTGGAAGACAGTACCAACACACAGCGAAACACAGACTCAGTACAGAAACAATGAGTGCACAGCAGGTCCCCCAGTGGCCCCAGCCTGACAGGAAGTGCCCAGGGCCTCTCTGAGAGTTTACCTTCACATAATGAAGGCAGCATACCCCTCTGAGTTCCTTCTGGGTATTGTAAGTCCCTGTAGGAAAGCTTCCTTTGGTTGGAGGTTTGGCCTCCAAGGTTCCTCAGAAGGCTTGAGCAGAGGCAAAAAGACTTCAAACAAGTGGCCAAAATCACTCTCTCAGCAAAGCCACTGGAGAAGGCTTTGAGAAGTAGGTGAAAGGTGATTTTTCATAAGTGCCTTTTCACTTACTTGACCCTTTTCACATATATCGGTAGAATTTTAAAAGATTTGAGAGCATAAACATCTAAGTTATTTGAAATTTTTAAGTGTATGCTTCTTTATATACTCTTGTCCTTCTGAAATCACTTTCCTTTTCAAAATAAGTACAGCCATGTTGGATCGTCGGTGCAAGGAAAAGAAAAGATCAGGGAAATCCACACCAAGGAGAGCCACCGACTCAGTGCAGCTGGTCTGACATTACAGGGAAGGCTGGGTACAGGCCACTTAAGTTCTACACAGTGAGCTTAGCTTGCCTTCCTCAAGCATACACCCAACCAACAGCAGGAATAAGACCAGTTTCTAGAAAGAAAGGCAGTTGTTAGGAAACCAAGAATTAGGAAACTATGCCAAGAGAGAACACCAGTGAAAATCTCCACACACACAAGTAGGAATTATCAAATGATAGCAATTTAAAGTTACACTTTTTTTTTTTTTTTTTTTTTTTTTGTCTAAAAAAAAAAAAAAAAAAAAAAAAAGAGGACGATAAATCTTTCACTGTGATATATCAAAATAACCCTGTAGCCCCAGCTGTCCAGGAACTCACTATGTAGATCAGGCTGGCCTTGAACTCACAGAAACCCACCTGCCTCTGCCTCCTGAGTGCTGGGATTAAAGGCATGCACCACCACGCCCAGCAAAAGTTACACATTTTTTAACTTGTTATTATACAATCACTTTGTTTTATAATTAAAATATTAGGATTTCTGACCACAGGATGGAACAGCTATCACAACACATGATAATTCTAAGGATAACCACAATGCAGAGTACAAGAGAGGCCACCGAGCTACCAGGCTTTATCACACCCTGCAGGACACACACAGGTGGACCCTTGTGGGGTGGTTTTGTTGCTAAAGCAGTGAGGGCAAAGGAGCAGCTCTGTTTCCATTCCCCGCCTCCAGCTCCTTCTCTCGGGTGATCCTGTCCTTCAGATCTAAATCTTCTCGGTCATAGAAGATACTGCTCTTTGAGATTTGGGGATAAACAACTTTGAAGAATTAAGCTATCAGCACTGGCTTCTTTCCCCCAAAGACTAACTGAAGACTACTCTTCTATCTCCTTCAGAAGTAACTCCCTCCTTGAGGCAGATCTGATAGGCAGAAAGAGATTCCATCAGGTACTTTGTAGAATGCGGTGGGAGGGATTCTGGGAAGGGAATCCAACAGCGGGAAATGAATAACTAGCTCTCTCTGTTTTTGCTGCTGCTCAACATAAACCTAAGGGAAGACCTGAGCTCTATACTTCTGAGACATCTACTAAAATGCACTCGGGTACATGAGTTGTAACAATAGACTAAAGTTGAGCTTAACACAAGATAGTTATCAGGAGATATGTCTAGCCACAATTTCAGACTTCCTGAATGCTCTTTGACCTTTGTACAAGCCAACCTCTGCCTCGTTATGCACACTTCACCTCATTCACCCTCAGAGATCAGCTTAGCATATGAGCCTGCTTTCCCTATTTCCAAAGCTTTTCTCTAATGGTAACCTCCAGATGGAAAGGGTTACCTTTTTCTTTCTCTCAAAGAACATGTATTACAAATTACATAGCATCCTCCACGTGTGTGAAAATTGCATGTTTACTTCTGGTTTCCCTCACCAAATGTAAGCAATGTTAACACAGGAAACCTATTCTCTTTGGGATATAGCAAGTATATAGGAACACAGTTAAGTATTTGATGAGGGGACAGAGAAAGGAGTGAATGAAAGTGATTAAGAATAAACAACATGAGCCAGGTGTGGTGGCACACGCCTTTAGTCTTTAGTCCCAGCATTCGGGAGCCAGAGGCAGGTGAATCTCTGTGAGTTCAAGGCCAGCCAGGTCTACACAGTGAGTGCTAGGCCAGCTGGGGCTACAGGGAGACCCTGTCTCACACACACACAAAAAAAATATTGGGAGTGTGGTACAGCAGTAGATTGCTTCCTTAGCACACACAGGGTCTGGGTTTTATCCCCAGGACTACAATGAAAAAAACAAGCTGAAGAGGGGGCTGAAGAGGCGGCTCTGTGGGTAAAAACACTTGCTGTTCTTCCAAAGGACCTGAGTTTGGTTCCCAGCACCCACGTCAGGCAGTTCAAAACTACCTGTAACTCTAACTCCAGGGGATTCTACATCTTTCTTCTGGCCTCCACAGACACCCACACACACATGGCATATACTTACAGACATGAAAATTTAAAAAACAAAAATATATCTTAAAAAATGATAAACAGCAGCAGGAGGAAGGAGAGTCAAACTTGAAAGGAAAAAAATGTGCAGAGGGTTCTATAAAAATTAAGCCCTGGGACTAGAGAGATGGCTCAACAGTTAAGAGCACGGGCTGCTCTTACAGAGGACCCAGGTTTGATTCGCAGCACCCACATGGTGGCTAATAACTGTCTATAACTCCAGTTCCAGGAGTCCAACGCCCTCTTATGATCCCCACAGGCACTGCACGACATGGGCGCACTTACATACATGCAGGCAATACACTCATATGTACAAAATAAAAATAATAAATAAAATATTTTTTTTTAAAAAAAAAGAATCAAGCTCCCAAAGAGAATGAAGAATGAGGGGGAATTTTTCTTCCAATGAAAGCAAAAGTAAACACATATAGTAAAATACAAGAGAACTGATCGCTGGAAATGCAGATTATTCTGGAACTGTGCTATGAGATTTCATTAAAAGGAACTTGTGCTTCAAATCCAGTCTCCATGGCAGAGCTGACATGCAGCTTTCCCGAGGTGACCCCACCTCAGGAAAGCTTCTGTCTGCAAGAAAACAGCAGGCAGCAGACACACTCAGCAGACACTATCTGAGGCATAGCTGACCTGTCAACACTGTGTGCTATAGGTTGGATATGGAGTGTCCCAAAAGCACAGTGTTAAAGGCCAAGACACTAGCCTGTGGCATTGATGGGAGACGATGGAGACCTCCGAAGGTAGGGTCTAGTGGGAGGGAATTAGGCCATCAAGAGTATACCCTTGGAAGATACTGCTGCCCTGGCTCCCCCGGCCCCCACCACTTGTTTCCTGGTTGCTGCTGAGATTAGGTTGTGCCCTGACCAAAATTACTGCATATTGTGTAAAACAGTGGTGTTTCAGGTTGCACCTTGCCCTGAGAGATTCCGTTTTACAAGCATCATTTGACTCCATTTTGAGGACAAATGCAGAGGTAGAATGACTGCCCCTTTGTTGTACAGGTAAACAATACCATCTCTCCAGCACCACCCACAAGGCAGTCTGAAAACTTATTCCTAAAAGCAAAAAGGGTGCTATTTTATAGTCTCTCACCTTGCCTGGCAACTTGGCTTTTGCCCTGAGGCTTAACTCTGCAGTGGGAGCACCTCCAGAAGAACTCCCAGACTCTTTGTATCTGTATCAGCTCTCCACTTCTGTTCTTCAGAAAGGCTCTTTTAAACTCTGCTACATCCCCTTTAACCCTTTTGTAGCCATTTTGTAAGTTACATGTGTGCATATAGAGAGATACATTTGCTATGGGGTGTATAATGTGTGACCTGAGAGTTAATATTAGCAATTAAGATTAAAATAAAAGAACCTGTGTTTGTCAATGGCCAGCTATCTAGGGAAATCACAACTGCTTGGTAAACTTCAGTCAACAAAACTGATGTGCCTTATGATTTATTATTATTTATTAAATTCTGACATTGTGGAAAGACATAAACATGCCCATCTATGTTTCTGATATAGTGCACTCATGACAGCTTCCATGAAGTAAGCAGCCCCTTCCATCACATGCTCCTATTATGATGTACTGCACGGCCACAGGCCCAAAGCAACAGGCCAAGCAATCATGGACTAAAACCTCAAGACTGCTTTTAAATCATCTCAGGTGTTTTGTTACAACCTGAGAAGACTGATAAGCACACTACGCAAATCACATAAAGCTGCCATGCTGGGACAGGAGGAAAACTAGCCTGGAAGACCCATGTGTCCTCATCCAGGAGATGGAGAGGAACGCCCCCACATCCTTGCTAAAACGTTCTCATGAGAACTCAGAGAATCTGAACAGTGGCAAATTACTGATCATTTCTATTGTCATGATTGAGCTTGCCTCTGTTATACTTAATCTTAAATGTCCCTCAAAGCCCACATGCTGAAGGCTTAGGCTTCCTCTCATGGCACTACTAGGAGGTGCTGGAGCCTCTAAGAGATGATGTTTAATGGCAGACTATGGGGGGGGGAGCAGGAGACTTCAAAAGGGATTTGTGGGATGCCTGCCTTGTACCCATTGTGAGATAAATCATTTGCCATACCACATACAGCCAATCACATGCTACCTTGCCAAGGTTCAAAACAGCAAGACCAACCAATCTTGGACTTATAGTTCACACATTAAGCCATAATAAGTCTCTTTGTAAGGTGATTATCTAACATATTTGTTATAGTAACAGAAAGCTACCTAAACTCAACCCACTCCTGTTTAGAGATTTTACTGCATTCCTTAAGAAAAAAGGCAGTCCTGTGGCAATTGTCTGAAGGTCAGTAAGTTATTCTTTCTTGCACAGGCTATAAGCTCATTGAAAGATGAGCTCAAAACAGCTGGACACACTACACCTGGGAAGGGTATAATGCCCTTCAGACCTAAGGGAAGAGAGAGCCAGGGTAGATTTGATAATAGATCAGTAACATGCTTCCCACCACAGTAAAGCCATGTCATGTGATTCTCTCTCCTCAGAGGACATTTGTAGGGTCTCCTCTGCTCTAAGCCAGGGAAGCGGTTTGGGTTCTCAGCAAACCTTGGAGTGGTAGATATGTTCTCCATCTTGGAAATTAATGGTGCCAAAAGTATCTGTAGGACTTTTCACTGTGTGTTTCTCAACAGACCACTGTTCATCTGCATTGCCTCCAGCAGACGAGAAGCTCCAGGTGGAGTCTACCCCACGATGTTCTTGAATCAGGCGGCCACAGTAACACCTAAATTCAGGGAAACAAGTCACTCAGAGTAGAAAATGGATACAATGTTTCCCTTTTCATAGACTGATGTATAGATGCCAGATATTAGTAATTCTTAAAAATTCATATTAAGAATTAGATTTATGGCACTGAATTGTCTACAAGTTTAGAAACATTCTCCATGGTCCTTCCCTTAGATAAACATAGAACCAACTGAGGAATATTTAAAAAATACTAAAAACCTTTTTTACCCATGTTTATAGAAGCATTATTCACAATAGTCATGAATGGATGAAACTGAAATATCCATTAACAGATAAATGGATAAAGAAAATAAGGCATGTATGCATTCTGGAATATTATTTACCCTTAAAAGGAAGGAAATTCCGACATATGCTATAAGATAGATGAACCTTAATGACATTATGCTAATCAAAATAAGCCAGTCTCTCTCTCTCTCTCTCTCTCTCTCTCTCTCTCTCTCCACACACACAATACAAATACTGATGGTTCTACATATTTGAGTGATCCAAAGAAATGAAGTTCATAGACACTGGAAGTAGAATGGAGGTCACCAGGGGCTGGGGAAGGGGGAATGGGGACTGGTCAATGGACATAGAATTTCAGTTTTACAAGATCTCAAAGTTCTAAAGATCCATCTGGGCACGGTGACTGAACCTGTAATCCCAGCAATGCAGAAGCTAAGACAGGAGAGCTGCCATGGGTTCAAGCACAGCCTAAATTACAGAGTTCCAGGCAAGCCTAGGCTTTAATCTGAGATCCTGGCTCAAATGAAAATAAATAAAGTTCTAGAGATCCATTGCAATGTGAGTATACTAAGTATTACTGAACTCTGCATTTTTAAGTACTTAAGATGTCCTAAACTCAAATTGTAATATATATTATATAAAACATATTATATAACATGTAGAGTTTCTTCTAAGTCAGGCATGCTACAATTAAGCTGCTAAAAATATTTTTCAAGCCAGGCGTGGTGGCACACGCCTTTAATCCCAGCACTGGGGAGGCAGAGGCAGGTGGATCCCTGAGTTCAAGGCCAGCCTGGTCTACATAGTGAATTCCAGGACAGCTGGGGCTATAGGGAGACCCTGTCTCAAAAAAAGACCAAAAAATATATATATTTTTTTTCAAAAGACTGATAAGATGGCTCAGTGGATAAAAGTGTTTGTTGCCAAGGCTAAGACCTGAGTTCTATCCCCAGGACCACACAAGTGAAAGAAGAGTACAGAACTTCTCACCTCTGCACACAAGCCATGGCATGTATGTATACACACAAACACATACAAACACTCATGTATCCACACAAATGCACACAAACATGCATGTATCCACACAAACACAAACAAACAAGTAAATGTAATTTTAAAATTTTAAACTAAAAACAGTGTTTAATATGTGAAACTTAGGGAAAGTAAGAAAATGTCCTCATGCAAAGAACAATGTTCACATGAGGCTGACTGAAGTTTCCTCAGCACAAGAAACAATGTGAGACTACAAATGTGCATAAGCACAGTCATCACTACAAACAGATGTAAACCCCAGGCCATGAGAAACGTACTAGAAACAGAAATAACAATGAAAACTTACTACATGTATTACAAGATTAACAAACATTCTTGAAAACAACCAGCAATTTCACTATACAACAAAATTGAGTACATAAACAAAAATAAATAAAAGGGTAAGCCTTCTTTTTTTTTTTTCTTTTTGAGACAGGGTCTCCCTGTAGCCCCAACTATCCTGGAACTCACTATGTAGACCAGGCTGCCTCTGCCTCCCAAGTGCTAGGACTAAAGTTGTATAAGGGTAAGCCTTTTTAAAATCAAAATTCTATAAACACTAACATATGATAATATTATATGTTTAACTTATAATGATGTCCTCTTTCATAAAATACATGCAATCAAAATGAAAAGGAATTTGAATACACAAAACATTACTACTTTTGAAATGAAAAAGCCATGCATCTGCATACCTATTATATCCAACATGAGAAGATTCTAAACTGTTACACTTAGGACTAGAAAATAATTTATAAATCATCACATATAAAAAGCTTGCTTTTGCTGGAATCAGTCTTTGAGGCAATGTTGAAGACAATAAATTCTCTAGTCGTGATCTCACTGAGTTTAGCAAAATAATTTGAAACTATAACATTAACGGTTGGAAGGCTGGTAAGACGATGAGATCACCACAATCACACACCTCCGAAGACACAAAAATGGGTGATGCAGTTGAAAAGTATAATGGCAAGACAAAGCGCCAGGCTTTAAGATTTTCACATTTCCCTCTCAGTAACTCATTAAAAAAACAAGCAGGCACAAAATCAGAGTATAAAATAAGCTCCATTACACTTGCTAGCAGCGATCTGCAGAACAAAGGGCACAGCAACCCTTTAAAGCTAGGAAGAAAATACTAGCTTGCTCTTCTTATTGCCACATTTAAAAAATAAGCAAGAAGGCCAGGCGTGGTGGCACAAGCCTTTAATCCCAGCACTCAGGAGGCATAGGCAGGCAGATCTCTGTGAGTTCAAGGCCAGCCTGGTCTACATAGTGAGTTCCAGGACAGCTGGGGCTACAGGGAGACCCTGGCTCAAAAAGACAAAAAAAAAAAAAAGCAAGAACTTAAACGTCCTATGACAAGGATGGACTCAAGCACTCCTACTCCACCTCAGGGTGAGATGTGAAGAGAAAGGTTGACTGCATTGCCCCCATGAGTTCAAGCCACCAGTGTTTTATGTTTCCCTGAGTCTATTAAGTGGACCTAACGACTGTAGCATCTTGTTTAGACCAAATCAGTCCTCACAAAATGAGCAGGAAACTGGACAAAAATGGAAACTGAGTCACATGCTGAAGGTGGTGGTAATAGCATGAGCACAAAGAAAAAAGCAACCAAAGCAAGGCTTTTCTCCTTTTGTGCGTGTGTGCGTGTGTGCGTGTGTGAGTGTGTGCGTGTGCGTGTGTGTGTGTGTGTGTGTGTGTGTGCCTGCCTGTACCATGGCATGTGTGCAGAGGTCAGAGGGTAATTTGTGGGTACCAGTGATCAAACACGTCGTCAGACTTCACAGCAAGCCAAGTCCCCACCTCTTGCCAGTCACCTTGCCAGTCCCTATTTCTCTTCCTTTTGTTTTTAATTCTGGCTTTTTGAGACAGGGTCTACCTGTAGCTAAGCAGACAGGCTGACCTCAGTCTCAGAGATCCACCTGCTTCAGCCTGAGTACTGGGATTAAAGGCGTGCACCACCAAGCCTGGCCACTTCTTCTTTACCCTGATATATACTCTGTCAACTACGTTATAAAGGAAAAAAAAATGTATAATTGTTTTGTAGCTTCTCTCTCTGGTTTTTCTCTGGGGGTGGGGGTCTTGGGGTTTATTTTTTGTTTTGTTTTGTTTGGGTTTGGTTTTTTTATTTTTTTTAAACTTTTTAAAAATTTTATTATTTTTATTTTATGTGTATGCACGTATTGCCTGAATGTAAGTGCACCTGTGGCATGCAATGCCCGAGGAGGTCAGAAGAGGCTGGTCGGATCCCCTGGGACTGGAGTTATGGATGGTTGTTAGCTGCCATGTGGGTGCTGGGATTCAAACCCGGGTCTTCTGCAAGAGCAACCAGTGTTCTTAACCACTGAGCCATCTCTCCAGCCCCTGGTTTTTTATTTTTTGAGATGGACTCTCACTGTGCTGCCCAGGCTGACCTTGAACGCCTCGATTCTGGGTTCAAGTGATTCTTCTACCTCAGCCACTGAAATAGCTGCCACAAAATGCAACCCCATCTCCTTTTAAGTAACAGTAGTTGGGGGCGGGAGGAACAAAGGACTTTCGCTGCTGCTAAAGTAGTTCAGTATTGCTCATCTCTTTTCCCTCTATAACTCTTGACTTCTATAATGCATGTAATTTACATACAAATTGTTTGTACAATTTGTAAATAAGAATACACATAATGCATATTGGGATACATATCCCAAAATGTTTAATGATATGATACACAATAAAACACATGAAGTACACTCTATCAAAGGCAGAAATCTTCTAAGTATGTACTGCAATATATGCATATTTATAAATAATACAATATATTAATATCAGTTCACATAGAAAATATTAATCAAGATATAGGTGGAACTATAGATGCACCAAATTGTTATTTCTCTGTTCATAATTGTAAAATACTGCAAATGACTCGGTAATCTAAACATTTACCAATAAAGATGTAAATAAGGGGCTGGAGATGTAGCTCAGCTGGGAGAGTGCTTTCCTAACATGAAAGAAGCCCTGGGTTTGATCTCCAGCAACACAGAACCAAGCATACTAGAGCACACCTATAATCTCAGTACTCCAAAAGGTAGAGACAGGAGGATCAGAAGTTCAAGGTTATCATCAACTATATAGCAAGTCTGAGGACTACATGAAAAGCTGTCTCAAAATTTTTTTTAAAAAGCCAGTGAGTCAGGTTTGGTGATAAACACCCGTAAGTCAGGCTGAGACTGCAGTATTGGAGGCCACTCTGGGCAACTTAACAATACCCTATCTCAAAATTTCAAGACACAAAATAATTTCAAAGACAACGTTAATATTGGTTCAACTCATAAACTTCAGGATACGGTGAGAATTAAGCAAGTTTCATTTTCTTCCACTGACAAAAAAGAAAAGAAAACCCACTTGCCGATACATGGTTTAAAATGTACATCATAGTTTATTGTTCAGTAAAGGTGATTTGCCTGTAATCTTGGTGTGCAAACACAATATCTGCAACTCACAGATCAAATACAGCACTACATTTACAAGAGAGAGTTTCATTTATCCAAATACAATGTGATAGTAAAATAAAAGATGTAATCCTTCACAAATGTTCCAGGTAGTGAACGTTCTTGCCAAATATCCTTAGATGTTTACATGTTTCCATAACTTAAGAATTCTATTAGATTCAAATAACTATGTTCAATCAGAAAAAAAAAAAACCTTTAATGCTTCCACTCTTTGGAGAAGGAATTAATGGTCACCTTACATTGAGTCCATTCAAGACCTAAGGAAGATGTGAGGGCAATCTGGCTGTGAGATCTGTCACCCCATTGGTTACCAGGGCTGGTTCAGCTGGTCTGACTGCTACAAAGGTATCCTTTCTTCCCTCGCTGATCCATAGGTGTCCCAGAACTGGTTAAAGGGACAATCTTTCCTGATAGAGGAGGACTGTTCTTTAGTCTACAGTATACAAGTAGCTGAGTTCCCCTGTTCCCTCTTGAGATTGGAAGAAATTCTCTCAGTGAGTTTTTAAACAGTGTCTTAAAATGAAAAAGGAGTTTTTCTTAATCTCACCTTACTAAATTCTGGCAGACTTGGCATCCTGGAGTACATCTAAATGAAAGAAATAAAATGACTGTTAGTTTACTGATATATGTGAAAATATATTTAATGCTAATAGAGTAAATACCTATTATTTCCTAGAGTCTAAAATAAGGATTTGCAGAATATTCATGTATCATTTATTTCCATATGTCATTTCCAATGTATAATTATACTGCAGCAAATGGATAGAATTAATAGAACATGGAGTATGAAACCAAAACACCTAGATTCAAACATCAGTAATTTATTGATTCTTCTGAGCCCAGCTCTTACATTTGAAAATAATTTTAAATACTTTATGGACTGTGCTGGATAGCTTTAGTGTCATCTTGACACACCTGGGTTGAGGGAGCCTCAATCGGGGAATTGCCTCTATTGGACTGGCCTGTGGCCATATCTGTGGGGCATCTTCTTAATGAGTGATGTGGCAGAGCCCAGCCCACTGTGGGTGGTGCCACCCTTGTGCAGATGGACCTGTGTTACATAAGAAAGCAGGCTGTGCAGGGGCCAGGGGAGCAAGCCAGTAAGCAGTGTTCCTTCAGCTCCTGCCTCCAGGTTCCTGTCCTGACTGGATGAACTGTGACCCGGGATATGTAAGCTAAATAAACTCTTTCCTCCCCAAGTTGATATTGGTCAGAGTGTTTTGTCACAGCAATGGAGAAACAAACTAGGACACAGACCTATCAGGTGATAAAACTACTAACATATTTGAAATATCTTACAGTATCTGGTACATTAAAATTTATGTAATGAAAGTAGTATATTGGCTACTTTTCTCATTGCTGTGACAAAATACCTGACAAAAGAAACTTAAGGAAGGAAGGGTTTATTTTGGCTCACAGTTTTAGGGGCTACAGTCCTTCATGGTGGTAAGTCATGAAGGAGCATGAGGCAGCTGGTCACACTGTCATCAGTCAGAAACCAAAGAGAGCAGAATGCTGGTGCTCGGCTTGCTTTCTCCTTTTTCCCTCTTATCAGTCTGGGACCAGCCTATGGGATGGTGCCAACCACATTCAGGGTGGGTCTTCCCTCCTTAAACTCCCCTGGGAACACCCTCACAAGCACATGTGCCTCATTAATGCATGGTTTCTTAGTCCTCTCAAGTTGATATCAGAGTTATTTATTCCAATCAAGTTGACAGTCAATGTTAACCATCATAGGTAGGTACTATTTATTATTATTATTGTTATTATTATTATTATTATTAACTATGAAGATAATGTAGAACTCTTAAATGTCAAATAACAAAACAAAAATATTTTAAAGTCACAAAATAGGACAAGAGATGGAGCTTAGCTGGTAGAGTGAGAGTGCTTGCCTCTGGAATGTCTCTTGCCCTGAGTTCCAACCCCAGCACCTCATAAACTGGGCATGATGCCGCATGCCTGTAGTTCTAGCATTCCAGACGTGGACTCAAGAGGGTCAGAATTTCACAGTCATGCTCAATGATATATTACGTTCCAGGTCAGCCTGGGCTACATGAGACCTTGTCTCAAAAAAAAAAAATTATAGAACACTATCAAATCAAATGTTATCACTGCCCTCCCTGTACTCCTGTCTAAGGCTCCATTATCACTCATTATCTCTGCTCCATTATCACTGTTTGTTAGTTTTTTTGTTGCTGTTGTTGTTTAGGGGTTTGTTGGGTGGCTGAGGCATCTGTTGTGTTTTGGTTGGTTGGTGTTTCTGCTTGTTGCTGTACTGAGGATGGACCCAGGCTTTGCATATACTAGGCACTACCACAGAGCCACAGCCTCAGGCTTCATTATTGTTGCTCTATAATGTATCATATCTCATAAGGCAAGTTCTCATGCTTTAGTTTTCTTTTTATAAATGTTTTTTCCCTTGATTGGGGGGTATGTGAAGTCCTGGATTCAATCCACAGTATCAAAAATAAAAAGTTAAAAATTGCTTTACTTTTCTTTTTTATTTATATTTATTTATTTATTTACTTACTTATTTATTTATTTATTATTTATTTATTTGGTCTTTTTGAGACAGGCTATGTGCAGGCCTGGAACTCACAGTGTACACCAGTCTGTTCCTCCTGCCTCTGCCTCCCGAGTGCTGGGATGGATTAAAGGCATGTACCACCATGCCCAACTTTTCTTTCTTTTTTAAAAGACCCACTGAGTCCATTTACTGCTGCTAGTATGTGCACAGATGTAGGACCATTTACTGGAGCATATGTACCTTCTGAGTGGGCATATCACTGAAGAAAATTGATTCTCCCTTGCCTGGTAGCCATCAATTGCCAACAATTAATTCATTTGCATCCGCATGAATTTTTCAAATCCCTTTAAAAATCTTTTATGATTTTGATAAGTAGTTTATTGAGTTTATGAAATGATCTGGAAGTTGGTAGTATAATTACTTTATTAGTCTTCCTTTTCTTTATATTTTTAAAAAAATTTTTTAGAAGAAGCATTTCATTACAGCTTTAACATACTCAATAACAGTTTCCAGAGCAAAGAAACATCTCTTTCAAAAGTGGCTATAAAATTGTTAGGTTCACAGTTGAATT